TCAGTACGTCTCCCAAGTTACCTAAATCCATCATGTGTGGGATTTTTGTACTGTAATCATCACATGTGTCTTGTGCAAGGAATTTGGATGGATAATCCAGGGTAAACTTGGCAGAAAAGAAATTGTCTGCATTTATTGCCAGACGGGTTTAGTTTCTGTGCACTCTGTCAATAACGCACTTCTTAAAACTTTTTAAAGTGAGACTACTGATTTCCCTGTGTTTATGTCGGCCTGCATTTCGCACATTTCGTTTAATCGCATCAACTCGTTTTGTTCTAAAGCTTTGTTCTGCGCGTGCACATACCTATAAGAATGTTTACATGGTTCAAACCAACAACAAACAAGTCAACAACACATGGCGCAGACCACTTGTTTGTTGCTGTTGGATTAGAGAAGTTGAGTAAACATGGATATTTCTCGCAGGCCCTCCCTATAACTATAAAAATGACACGACAGTTTACACATCTTTATGATACTTCATGGCGGCATCCAACATCAGTTTCCTGCCTACACATATTTGATAAGACGTTTTCAAAAATGAGAAATGATGTTTGGGGTGTAGGGTCGGTTTGGATAAAGGCTAGTCTCTGTAAATCACACCGCCCCTTTTTCTGTTTGCGCTGAGTGATGATCCAAATGACCCAAGAATAAGCTCAACTTGTGTAGATCAAAGAGCAACCGAACAAAGGTCGCCATGCCTTCATCCTGTGTGGTCTCAGCATCGTTTTACCTGAGTCCAGCTAGAAGGAGGGGAAATCAGTCCTCTTCTTTCTTTTGTGGAGGTTTTTAAAAAACGTATTCCTCTGTTTCTATTGTTTCTATCGTCACAGGTGTCACAGACGTTTGGTTGATTAACATTTACCAATGTGCGAGAGGCTCTGGAATAAGTATAAGACCCGCTTCAAACATCGTATTTTTTCCCGTGTCTAATTCTAGTAATACCTGTAGTGCAACATTTGAATAAGGCATGGCAGAAAATCTACGTTTGAAGTAACTGCATGCCGAATTTCAGTCGCTTTTTGCAACGGATCGAATTTGACACTACAGAAGTTCGATGTTTGAAGCGGGCCCAACGGATGACCAATGCATTATGGATTAACAAGAAAATTCTACGTTGATTGCGTTGAAAACCAATCTTTATTTTGAGATCTCTGGATTCCTTGTCCCGTTGGCAAATCAAGTGTCTCGTAACATTGACCATTTGCGCAGAAACAGTCAAAGCGGGGGAATCTTCTCATTTGGTCATTATTTTTCTGTGGCTTTATATAAATGTCAAACAGCGCAGCCGATTTGTCATTGCACTGAGTGCCGGCAATAAAACGGGAAAGGACAAAATGAAAAACAAATTTGAGGACGGAAATGAAAGGGAAAAAAACACCGATTTGCATAACGAGAAAATCAACTAACCCCTTTTCTCTGTTAATGACTTGTCAGTACGTTGCGTCTTGCCCTTTCCCTGGAAATAACATCCACGCACCACAATACTTTAAGATACGTGAAGAGCTGGTTTTGTGAGCAAGTATATGTTAACTAATATATGGTAATTTGTTGTTGCCTTTTGCTTAATTTTTGTTATTTTATTTTTTTTATTAGAAATAATTGTAACGGTACATCGTCATCTGTCTACCGTGGAAGACATCAGTGAACACTGCCAGCTACGAACTCGCTTGTTAGCACTGGTTCTAGACCATCTACACACACAAGGCTGACATCACTCCAGGGAACCAGCGTGTGTTTAGCAACTTTTCCGAGCAACACTGTCTGAAGCTAATTAACGGTATCTTTCAAAGTGGCCTTTTTGTGACTACCTTTTTATTTATAGTCGAGGGTGACGTCGTTATTGTTCTGTCGGTCAGTGCTCCCCAGTGGTCTTCCAAAGCCCATCATCTTTTCATGCACTACGTCCGTGTAAAATGTCCGTGGTATTGTTGTGAAAGAGGCTCGCTGACTTAGAGTATGTTGTCCCTCGGTACCAAACCAACTATATTCTGTGTATCCCTCCCCCCTTTGATATACACAGGGGACCCCAAGCCAAAATAACAAACACAGATCATGACAAAGTGAGGAATTCAATCAGGAAATTTAAAAGGAAACCCTTCGAGTTGGAGGTTATGAACTGTCCGGAATTCAGTCTCGGGTTGGCACGGACTTTTTTCTTTATCTTGTTAAGAAGACAATTATTTCGACAAACAATAATTGTGTCGTCTTCTTCCCGAATAGTTTACATCTTCGCGCGAAGAATCGAGAATGGCATTCCTTCATGGACGCTTTTAAGTATGAACAGCACATTATTCACGGTCCAAATTGGCAGGTTGCGAATTAAACTAACATCTATGTATACACGAGGGCGCAGAGTTCATTTATAAACAGAGGTTGCATGTAAATTTGGTATGGTATCTGTTTTTTCTTACAAAAAGGAATCATCCACTCCTACAGTCAGATGTTTAGGTCCACATGATAATGACACCATACCGGTAATGCTTTGCAACATGTCCGGCAAACCTGAATTCCCCACCGTCCCCTTACCCCAACGATATCAATTATATTTTCACAGGTCGAAAGTCCAGACGGCACTGTAAAAGTAAAATAGATGTAAAACTCATTTGTGTACATCGGCTCTTAAATGGAAAATGCAGACAAAATGCTACCACTAAACTTCTAAAACCCGAAATCTTTGGTAGTTCTATACCCCATCATGTACACGAACCAAGCGCTCAGGCGTACAGCATGATTTTAATTCAAAGAGAAACCAAACACAGCACGAACGCATGCCCATTAATTTCAAATGCAATAAGACTTATAGATTATTTGCCGTCTGGATTCTCGCGAGGCAACACTTTTATTTTATGCAAGTTTTCCCTAGAAATGTGAATCAGGCCTATACTGTTATAATATCGTTATTCGTGAGTGCCAGGCAAATCTTTAGTTAAAACCAGTTTTTTATTTTTACAAATGAAAAGCAGTACTAGCAATATTTTTAAAAATCAGACAATGTGGAGTAGTTTGTGCTGAAAACTGATGCTCTTCAATACTGAGAAAGGTAGGCCTATGATTGATATGATTTCATCTCTGAATTGAGGACCGTTTATGTTCGACGAATATAAAACCAATTTTCCTATGCATGCAATTTTCGTTTCCAAGATACTTGAAGAATAAAAGCGATTGGTTTTCAATAGTGTTGACGTCATCACCCCCCTAGAGTCAAATCTACGCGCCGTTTTCAAGATGTTTTTGTTTCTTCAAACAACAAACATTGTTCTTCTAACTACTTGGAAATCGATTAATGCAATAGCGATACCGACCATGTTTGTGTCGTGAAAGCTGAGAGAGGTCAGCCCGAGTAAACACGAAGACCTGGACGGGTTTCAAAATGGGTCAGTGTTTATTTCTGTTTCTTCAGTTTAGGCTGACGCTTGTGGGATGATACAGTGGAGAGAGCAGACCTTGGTCACACATTACCTTCAATCACGCCTGGTCGACACAGACAGACAAGACATATCGAGGTTTGGTGGTGGGTGGTATTTATCCATTTTCCCTGTGTTTTCTATGAAGGGATACGGGTGTTAACCTATTAGTCAGGTAACCTGACCCAGGTCGAATCTCTGTCTTCGACCAAAGACGACAGTTCGTTACTAATGCGGCACGTGTCCCTCTGTCACGGTGACTTTGTCGATTCTATGTCCCTCTGTCACGGTGACTTTGTCGATTCTACTGCAGTAACACAATGCCAACAAAATTTTTGCGTGATGATGAAAAGAAGAAAGAGACAAACAGACATCAAGTCTGTTTTATAATTTTTTAAATACTTTTGAACAAAATTACTTGAAAATTTCAAGTAAATTTTGGGAATGCATGCCATGGAAATCTTCAGTGACTGAGACATCACAGTGATGACTGATCTATGCAGCAGCCATACAGACATTGCAGCTGATGACTCGATAACAACATCATTTGATGCGATTTCAAGAGGACTGAAGTCAACATGAAACACGATTCTCCGAATACTGTGTCCCTTCTACTCTTTACGCCTTGAAATTCGATTAGAGTCGCGTGCCGTTATCAGAATTGATGCTGGCGGCAGAAATGGTGACTCTTAATGAAAGACGGGGAGGTATGATAACGACACATGACTAAAATAAACTTTGTCCATGTTTTAATCTTTCGTGCAGACAAACAGACAACGCACAGCGCAACCAACAGAGAACCACTCCATGAAATTAAAACGAAGTATAAAAGAAAACTATTTTATTGAACAATCCACGAGTGTCGTATTGATTACTCCACACTGTAAAAACGGGGATGGCTACAGATTTTACCTTCCGTCACGATATTATTCCCCCCCCCCTTTAAAATGTCTCTACTTTTTTCTTTACCCGAACACATTTGGGCCTTAACCGCAGGAATTAGCGTACGTGTGTTTGTAGCTAGCCAAAGCGAAGGTTTGATGTGCACCGAGGCCTCGGGTGTATTATACTGTTTTAAACGCGATTTTGAATTTGAGTTTAGGTCTGATTTCTTGTTCACTGCCGGACTGAGAAACAATTATTGCGTTTGGTAAAAGTAAGAGCAGAAATTACGACAGTATTGTATGACCTGAATGTATACCACAGGGGCCCATTTGGTGCAGACCCATGCAGACGTTTCGATCATTCTGATGGCGTCATCTCCAGTACATTCAGAATCATAAGCATACATTCGTAAGTATACGCCGTCCATTAACCGTATAACATTGTGAAAGGGGACTGCACTGTAGGTGTCAAGTCACTGCGATCGCAACTTCGTGGCCACAAAGAAGTCTGATATTCCAACACCCAAGGCTATCTTCTCAATCTCATATCCATTTCACCACTTTTTCCCTAATCAAAACGATCAGGTCTTTCAAAACCCACTACGGTAGGGCGAACTTTTAACCAGTTTGGCCCTGCCACCCTTCAGGGAAACCCAATCGCTATTCACGAAAATTGTTTAGGGGTCTACTCTGTTTTCCTGCTCACACATACCTGCAACTGGTACCAGCAACACGCCAGGCTGAAATTCTTAGATGTGAAAAACAACCATCGGAATATCTTGCGATGAGTAGTGTTGTAGGTTCTATTACCAGTGAAAATATAACAATTTGACTGGGTAAGGCCTAATATATCCCCTCTGTTTCGGTTCCCTATCGCGCGACAACGTTCAATTCTCCCACGCACGTAATTCGGCCCGCCTTCATGGCAATGAATTAGTGATGAACTCGGCCAACTGAGGCCGGTAACAAACCCAAGGGATTCAGTTGAACCGTACCACCTTTTGTTGCAGACTGCCCGGGCTCATCATATGCTGCCGCGCGCTGCACGAACCAAGCCCCGAGGAGAATTAGCTTTTTGGAATAAAACCCAACCGTAAACAACCCCATACCTCGGCTTGGGAAGATGGATGTGACAACTTTTATGGACTGAGTTGTGTTATTACAAAATGTTCCAGAAGGGAATTAAATTGAACTGCAAGGTGATTGCTCAAAACCGCAATGACGTCCAGAGATTGCTTACAATTAAAAAAAAAACACATATTTTCAACCTATTTTTCTGTCAGCGTCTTGCCTCACCTCTCGACCACCTGCACCAGGCCACTCTGTGACTTGGCCATGAAAGAAAAACGAACCCTGACATTCTTCCAGCAACCACAGGTCAAAGTTTCCCACCATCAACTAAATTTGTCAAAGAAAACCAGGGAAATCCCCACCAAAAATAGGAGTACAACTAAAACTAGTGATGTACATGTATTTACTAGACGAGGATGAGAGGGTTAATTGTATGTCAAGGTACTGGTTGCCATGTGCGACGCATTTTGTTCAATTTAACGCGACTTAAAAAGACGAGGAAATATTGTTCAACACTGTGCGATTCTGCGCGATTCTTCTGTTTCGAATCCATTCGTCAAAGCAAATGCTCTCTTTGTCTGAAGGCTTGTGCATCTAAAAACTTGACAGTGATTTGTTGAGAAAAGGTAAGTTCATCAGCAATAGCAAATGCGTGTAGCTGAATCATCGTTTAGTTTTCTTAGAAATTTTGAAGGAGTAAAACATATATCTAAAAGCAAACAAACATCAAATAAGCAAAAGTGTCGTTGGAGTTTCTTTGCATCCTCTTGTGTCATCTTCAATCCTACAGCCTCACTTTTCCTTCCTCTGAGTGTAAAAAGTAGCGATCTAATAAGTTAAATTAAGAATTGACTTTCGACATCTCAGCTCCTTAGGGGATCACCTCACTCCTCACAATCAAGTCCGCTGAGACATGATAACCGTCAAACTCGATCAGCCTTACATCAAGTCTGGTGGTTGTTACCATGATTGGGGAACCAACCTGCCGGATATCGCTGTACTGCAAGGGAGTATCAGACTTGAATTTTTTATAAAAAAAAGACAAATCTCAGACAGCGAGGTACCACAATGGCTACTGGTAGTGATCACTGTTCAGTGATGTACATGTACATGTAGAGTGTTGATCAGATTATTGTGGAAAGGTACCGGTACTCATCGGTCACAGAGGTTCATTCCGGTTTTTGCTCAATCTGTAACTAAGTAGAATTCGGGGAAAATGCCTTTCGCAACGAAGACGGCAGTAAAATAATCCGAAGCTACCTATAAAACGACCCAGACAAAACTATGCAATGACAATGAGACGTTGACCATCTTCCAATACGCTCCACACAAATCTGAACCATATTTCCAACTGGGATTCCTTTAAACGTATAAATGTTCATTTTGGTTGATACACGAGACCGTTTTCAAGACAAAGGAGTGCTCTTGCGCTGATTATTTTCATAACCTCGCTATGGGTGGAATTGTTTATCGGTGTTCAGAGTCCAAAAACCAAGAACTAAAAGCGTATCTATGACCCGCCCTGGGGAACATACGGAGACAGACTTAATTCTATCGGGCCATGGAGGAACGGAAAGACGGGCATTGCAATGTTCGATTTTCCGTTATAGTGGATTAAAAAGAAAGAAAGCGAAGGAACACACACTGCCATGCCCAACCAAAACTTGATACAGTAAAATTCCACTGCCCAGCGCCTACGGGCTTGCCACACATCAGGTGGGCGACTCGGGGTCACTGGAGGTCACGTTTTGCGAATTTACGGTATTTTCATTCTAAATGTGATATTGTTGGCCTTTTTGTCCGAGCGTCGGGCGCTTGAGGGAGGCCCTGTCTTTAGATTATTGGAGTTTTATAATTGGTTTCTTTGTTCGGAATTCAATATTGGTGCAAAACACTAGGCAGGTGTGAATAAAAGCAAATGAAATACAAAGAGTTCAATTTGGCGCCACTTTCGTGAAACACTTCAGAGTTGATCGACTTCGAATAGATTCCCTGGTATTCCCATGCGCAGATCCAGGGAGAGGGTTGGGGTGAAACCCCCCCCCTTCTCTGAGCAAAAAAGTAAATAATGTATGTTGTAAATAATGTATGTCACGCATGCTGATTCATCACTGTTTCTACTTGTCAGCAAAAATTACAGTGATGGTCCTGTTTCTAGTCATACATTCATTTAGTGGTAACCAACAGGTTGTAAGCACTTGTCATTGCCAGTTTTGTCATTGCGGTGCTGCGGAGCCTG